GAGGGTTGTTTTCAGGGATATAGCAGCATTCATCTTATGTGATGATTGATTTCTAGTGAAGGGGGTGCTTGATTTGTACGGTACACCTCCCATCGCGAGCCAGGGATGGGAACCCCCTGTGGAGTTGTCTGTCAGGCCCTATCTGGCCTCTGCATACAGCACATTGATCAGAGACTTTCGATCCAGAGCATGATGGATGTGAGAAGACACTTCGCTGTGGAGGCTTATAGGGTGGCTTTAGTCACAGTCTGGGGAGCTGACATGTCTGAATTAAAGTTGTGGCAGAGATTTCTTCCCAGATTTACATGTACATTAGCAAAGCCAAAGCCATTTCAGCGGAGGTTTTCTGTTAGTACTGCCTCGTGGATTAATGTGGACTAGTGAAATCTGTACTGTATTCATGAAAAGGGCAGAAAAGTGTACACGTAAATCAGATTTTAAGTTACAATTCCAAAGATCAGATTAAGAGATTCAATTTCTGTATGGGCACACTGTTCCACTTTGCTGACCACTTCCATCTCTGGTTTTGGAGGACTGAAAGCAATGCGAGCAAAATTAGATTTCTGTGCATCCCTTCATGTGTCTGACTGTGTTTGGATGATCAAAGTCACACTAATGGCAGATGTAACTGCAGCCAAAAGATCACAGTCTGATCCCATGACATTGTCTGGTTCTTACCACAAGGACAAGACTCATATAATGATAGATGGAGACTGTGTAGATGCTTAATAACAGACTCTATCAGTTCAGTTTATTCAGACCAGGAACACAAGTATTTCCTTATTATTATCTTTACATCAAATCCAATTATTATTATACTTTGCATTGTACATATTTCTCACTATCCTAAATAATATTGGTATTGTTATCAATATTTATTTGTACTGTTATCGGTATTCATGCTTTTTTTTTTGTCAGATTGTAATTACTAGCAGCTCATTAGAGCTTCTCCAAGTAATTAAAAATGACATGGTAACTGTAAACCTTTTAATATGGATTGGTAATCATGGATGACTACAGTGACTGATAGCCTTGCAGATAACCTGAGTGTCTCCTTACACCGATAACGTACCCCCCGACCTCAGACTGCAGGCAAGAGTACACACAGCTGCTCAGTATCTGAACTTGTATATATTATGTAAGTCTTACATCCACTGGCATCCATTGGCACACTTGACTAATTAGACATTTTTCATTTAGTGGGTTTTTGTCTAAACAAAAAAAAAAACGTCTAAATGAGCGGAAATAATGCAGAAGGAGGAGAAGATGACACCACATTTAACTGTACATCTTTGTCTCTTTCTTTATGCTCATCTGTCAGTCAGTCAGATTACTCTCCGGCTCCTCTTTCTTACCTCTCTTGCCTCGCTCTACATTACTGGGAACGTAGCGGCTGGTTTGGGGACACTACGCCTGCCTCTTCAGCGGATTACTGCGAAGAGAGAACTGCTCCTTTTGATATGGAAATCCAACATCCCCACCAAATATAACTCCCCCTCTAAAAAGTATAGCAGGAATGGTGTGTGCACATCTTTGTAAGTTAGGTCAACAGTTATAACCACCAAAAAAGCCAAGCCAAGTGTGTCCAAAGATAAATAAAGCTGAAAGAAGCAGCCCTATTTAGTGGGTCATGCAGAATGTAAACACTTAAGAATGGACAACACAGTTACATAATAGCCGACATTTAACAAAAAATATAGTGAAGGATTGAATAAGCAAACTGCCAATATACTACAGTTTATGTTTAATTAGTCTGGGGAACATATACAATCTACATTGTTATTACACATCAATTGTAACAAATATTTAGATTAAAATGGTTTTAAATTGTATTTATGTGAACATAATGACACTGCTGTCACTGTATGAATGTTGTGTAGTTGTAGTTACTGAGAAACAGGATCTTTTTCTTCTCACAACAAAGTGCTGTCTTGTATTTTGAAGTATTGTTTACCATTAACATTTTATAATGAGTAACCTTTCTCATAGCACAATCAGTCGGTGTGTTGTATTAATGATTTATTTAACATGACATTATCTTGAAAGTATCTTCTAATGAGAAGCTGAGCAGATGGCAGTAACATGTTATCATGAACAGAGATAAATGGATGTGATTGGTTTTAAATTCTGTATGAATTTGAGGTGTTTCCCAGTGTGAGGTGTGAGGCTTATAAATCCTAATAAGCGTCTTGCTGATGGAGCTGCCTCCTGGTACAATCAATAATAACAGCTGCTGGCACTGATTCAGAGGAACCACACCCTAAAACACACACACACACACACACACACACTCACACACACACCTATGTGCATAGTGTACATCAGCTGTAAGCACCCACAAAATGAAAACATGCACACACATCTCCATCAGCTGTACTGTACATACACACTTACTATCACATAAAATGGAGTGGAGAGAACATTTCCAGCTGCAGATGAATGTGTGAAGCAGTGTGTAATCCTTCTCTCCTCTCACTCTGAGCACTTGGGGTTGTAGATGGGGAAAGGTGGAGTGAAGACAAGTTGACAGAGAGGAGGCTGATGGTCTTGACTGGAGGACATCATATGTCACTGGTGCTGAAGCTAGTAATCTGTCGTAAGCTTTCACTTGGGGAGAGCTCAGCGTTTACTGAAGGTGAATCCTGGTTCCAAATTCTGTCCTCTTGTTAGGTAGTCACCTAAATTCATAGCTTTGACAACTTTAGTACAATATATTTTAATGTAATGGTTGCGTATATAACACTTGAAGGAATTTGTGAATCACCTTAATCTTTCCCCAATCTTTCTTTCCTAAGGTATTTTATTCAAAAGCTGTGGCACAGCTCCGCCTCCTTTCTCCCTCATTCGGTCCTTTGGTGACTTGTAATTAAATGCAACTGCATGCACTCTAATAATTTGATTAAAGTCAAATTTTAGCAACGCCCCTGTATGGTAATTGTCATGTAAACACCCTATTTAGTTTTCTTTAACTGCAGTACGCTTATAATAACCAAAACCTGAATCACAACTAGTTCGATTTTTGTATTAGTTTGATGTATTAATTCTGTAATTATTCAATCTGATTTCATTCACTGGTTTGAAATTATGCATGTGCCTGAAAGACTGCAGAGTGACTGAAGCAGAACAGTGTTTCTGTACACAAACAACAACAAAGCCAGTGGTGATGGAAAAGTAAACTAAATTGAACTAAACTCATCACAGTCCCTCCATTTTTCTTCACTAATGAGATGTTTCCTGTTTGCTACCAGACAAGCTTACAAACATTTACCCAGTTATCACATGAAGGAAGCACAGTTTTTTTTGATTTTGTTGAAAAAGAGTAATATCTCAGTGGATCTCGCCTATATAAGTAGGAGATTGAGTAATACATATTACAACAAGTAAGTCCCTTTTCAGTGGCATTGCAAAGGGGGTGTGGTAACATACAGTAATCTCTATTAGAGCAGAGTCTATTTGATTTGGAAACTGCCCTCCAAGTAATGTTAATGGACTGTGCAGGCGTGTGTCAGTGAAACTACCCAGTTAAACTGATTTTGAGTGACATTAGATTCACTCACATTGACATCCCTGAGATTGCTGGTGAACAACATGTTCAGTTCCTTTCTAAGATACGATTTACTTTTTATCATGAACCGTATCTGCTCGAATTACACTTCAAAGCACCTTAATCTGATCAACTCTGGCCTCTTTCCTCACGATGTCATCATAGTCTGACTGGTACTCGATGATATGAGAGTTTTAAAAATCTGACAAAAATGTATTATTATTATATTATTTTGGGAAGAATCTCTTAAACTTTGTTATATAAGGGAAATTTTACCGTTGAAAAATAAATGTGTCAGTATTTCCTTCTGGACAAACAAAAAGCAATTTCTAGCTATTAATCAGCTAACATATACACTGATAGCAACATGTCTGCAACAAGCTAATATCAGCAGTATAGCTCTATTTGTCATTGCTCAACTCAGTCAATATTAGCTGCATGTTTTTATGTTTAGACTGAAAGTGAAGCTAATTTTCATCACGTTTTATTCAGTGTTTTGGCACTCAGTTTTTATTGGCTATAACCAGCAGATGGACGTAAAACAGATGCTTACTCTAGATAGCTAACAAGACGTACCAACGCTGCATGTGTGAATCTTCTGGAAAATTCTGGAAATAATTGTCTTACTCTCTCTGTTGGGAGGCCAAGACCTAATTGACATCACACAGCGTGGTGGTGATGGCATACAGCTCGTCGGGAGCAGAAGGGAGGGAGAGAAGGTTAACCACTATAAACCCCCCAGAATAAAGAACCTGTTGTTTGGAGGGAAATCACAACAAACCCTGCCTCTCTTGTGCCTCTGTCTGCTCCTCATTTGTTTTTTCATTTGTTCTTTCATCCTCTCCATGCCTCCTCGGTTTGTCTGTTTCACTGATATCACATTGTTTTTTTTTGTCCGCCCTCCCCACCTCACTCCACCCCATCTCCCACTGTCATTTTCTCTGTCCTGTCTATTTCTCACCCCACCCTGCCTTCTGATATCCCCCTCTGTGTCACCCAGGGCTTTTTGTTCCCATTTTCTCTCCCCGATTCACTTGCTCTCCTCCTGCCTCATTAGCTAGATGTTTCAGCTGTAGCTTGTTGAAGCTGGGAAAGGCGTGGTCTTTCTGTCTTTTCAGAGTCTCTCTCTGTCTGGCATTTTAATGATTATTGGTTGGATATTGTTTGGATATTATCAACCTTATATACATGTTTCATTTTCTTCTTCACCCTACGCCTGCCTGTCTCTCTGTCTCACACATACACACACACATGCCTCGATCAACCCAGTCAGTCAGTCAGTCAGTCAGTCAGTGCCGGGTGCACTTCTGTTCTGTTCCAGTTTCCAGTAAGCTGATCCTGCTGGCAGAGGCTAGTGGGGAGACTTCCTTTTCTGGAAGGACCTGATGCATCGTGTTAATGATCCTCCCTCTCTCTCTGTCTCTCTACTGGCCTGTCAGAGGAGTGAAGAGTCTCATTTCATATCACAACGTCTGTGCAGGGAGCAACAGCAGAAATCATCAAGCCGGCCGAGTGGAGAGACTGTGCGGATCACGCCCCCCTCTTCTGTTTCAGCCTTGCGCTCTTTCTCTTTTTCACTAACACCAGTAACACCATTTCACACTCCCTTCTCTCGTTTTCTTTCCGTCTGACTGACCAATTTTCTGTCTTTTCTCACTCTGACTCTCTTTGTATCTCTCTTCCTATGTATCATTTTCTGTGTCTCTTTCTCCTTTGGGAGAGTGTCTCCAGCTTCAGGTAGGCAGCACCACATTCAACCAGGAATCGCTTCCTCATTCTCTCCTTCATCATACACATCAACATCCTCCTCCTCCTCCTCTTCCACCTCCTCATCTTCCTCCTCCGCCTCTATCTCTCTACTCTCCTCCTGCCTCCACACCCTGCCTCTGAGTGCGCTGGAGAGAGTCGCCAATTGCGCACGGCAAAGGCAGCAAGTGGGAGTGGACCTCGGCGAGCGTGCTTCGCAAGTGTGTGTGAGTGTGTGTTTGTGAACGTGGAGAGGAAGAGGAGAGGAAGAGGAGGAGGGAGGGAGAGAGCATCAGCACAGTCCTCCCAGTCTCTCCTCTCTTCACGCGTACTCCCACTCTGCATGGAACAATCCTTCCTTCACTGCTTCTAAATGGACATTTCTGTGGCAACATTTCACCAGTGAAGACAGCAGCTGCTGCCGCTCCACTCCACGAGCTACTACATGCTGGATTAAAACAAAAAGTGAGAAGAGGAGAGGAACAGGGGGAGATCTCTGAACATGAGTGAGGAAGCTAAGGAGAAAGCAGGCGGCGGGAAAGCAGCCCATCGCAAGAAGAAAGGCAAAAAGGTATGAGAGAGAAAGCGCTTTCTTTGTCTTGGTGTGTTTCCTTTTTGCTCAGTTGTTGCTCAGGCTTTTAGATGTTTGTATGCGAAGTAAGAGATTCTACAATGAGATGAGACTAATGGGTGAGGTTGATGAGAAAGTGACTGAAGGTGTGTTTGACCATGTTGTTGTCATTTTTTTTTGTTTCATCATTTATTCTGATCAAGTCTTGAGTCATCAGCACGTTACCGATTTATAACATTGAGTCGGTTTGCTTTATACAAGAGTCAATTTATTTAAAGTACAGCTTGTACACCTGGTTGTTCCCATGAATTTAGCTGTGAATTGTTTTTAAATGTTTTTCTGTCTACCACAAGCTCGCATGTAGCTCTGACACGAGGGAGAAATATTTGTTTAGCCTCACCTGAAATGCTACCAAAGCCCATTGAAATGCCGTCTGTCAGTCACCAGTTATTATGATCCTGCCGCTGCGACTGGTCGGTCTGGTTGTTTTGCTCTTGGTGATTGGCTGGGGGAGCAGTGGTATGTAAAGTCAAGAGAGAGAGTGTGTGTAATGGGAGGCATGGGGATGTCCTCAGGGGTTGGGGTGGGGGCAGCAGAATGCACGCACGCACCGCACAGGCATCTGTTGTACTGTCAAACTCCTCTACAGCTGTGTGTGTGTGTGTGTGGAGGTGTGTCTTTTTGTGTGTGTATCTGAGAAACATGCACTGAATGTAACGTATGCATAGCTGTCTTGTTGTTTTCCTGAGGAGTTTGGATTGTTTTTATGGCTTTGAATTGAAGGTGTTTCTGTGAAGCCACAGAAACATGTTTTGACTCATGAGGTGGAATGTTGGTTTGTGTGTGTGTGCCTGTGCTCACATGTGTATACTTATATGTGATTTTCAGGTTGTGGACCACATCCTAAAGCACACATCTCCTGCGCCTACCTTGCTGTTGTGTCTATGATAAATGTGTTTTGGTGATGAAAATCACATACACAAACACCAAATACACGGATCACACACACACACACACACACACACACACAAAGGGTATTTTCCAGACCATTTGAGCTTGGATGAGACTGAAGCTGCATTCGAGGTGGCCCTGGAGATCAGGGATTTGTAGGACAGGGGAAGACCAAAGTAAAGCAGAAAAGCAGAGAATCCCAGATACAGCTTCCCACTATACATTTTACAAGGCTGAGTAAATCTGTTATTGAGAAGGAAATGTAGTCTTTAAATCATTTATAGCTGCTTTGGTATGTGCCATCCTCAGTGGTAAAGCTGTCATTTGGGTTCCTCAACAACAACAAGAGAGAAGATGTTCAAACTACAGACTGCAGTAATGAAATGTTGACACGAAGCAATGTCGCACATTTAGTGGTGTATAGAGGCTGTTGAAAAATAATAAATATAAGCAATATGAATTTGTTTACCTCAAGACCAAACGGATAACGGTCGAACAGTATGTAGAAAAAATGAATCGTTAATAAAACAAAAGATTGAATTATTTATGTGAAAATGTATCTTCAGGGGATATATTTCATAATGGCTGTTTCTTTGTAGAGTAAATGTCAGGCGATGAGTAACAAGTTATTTATGTTCTGAAGTTATGTTAAAAAATTAAAAATAAAGAATATTGGCCAATGTAACATTATTTAGTTCTTTAAACTCAATATCGGCATTAGCCTTAGAAATCCAGTATTGGTCATTCTTCATCATACAGAGACAATGAAGTTTGAATAATGCCTTTTTTTGAAGCCAAACATTAAATATCAGTTTGAAATATCCCAATATTGAAGATTCAGTGATGTTCAACTCCATTTCCCAACGGATTAAGATGAAGGAGGGTTGGGTTAAATTCACCAAAAGGATTATCACTGAGGCCCAAAGTTCTCTGTTGATGTATTTTCCCCAACAAGCCTCGACCCGTTATCTCTCTCACACAAGCTCCATGCAGCCATGAAGCTGAGAACAGCACAGCAAAATGATGCATATTAATGCTTTTTCCATATGTATGTTGTTTGTTGTGTGGGTACATGTGCGAATGTGTGTCCATGTGTGTCTGCGTTTCACTCGGTGCGCATGTGTGCGCCGGACAACTATGCCAGATGTGTTAATGATTGTAGCCATGGCAACTAGTTTCAGTTCTGAGCGAAAGATGTCGAGGGTGAGAGCCGGCAGGGGAGAGAGAGAGAGGGAGAGAGAGAGTGAGGAGGGGGTGGACTGGTGAACTTGGTGGCCTGAACAGAAATATATTTTTCATGAGGCAGCTGCTGTGATGGGGAAAGCTCAAGGATACAATCAAACATCTTTTGACTCAAGGTCCCAGACTTATCCCGATTAAGACGGGGGTCGTAAATCAACACCAAACACAATGTTGTCTTTGACTTTTTGTGGATTTTGTGTGTGTGTGTGTGTGTGTTTAAGTCTAGTGGCGGCTGTGTTGTGTAGCACTTTGATGTTTCTCCAAATGCTCTATGATCTCTCAGAGGCTTAATGATAAGAATTTGATGTAATGATAGAGATAATGAGGTTTACATAACAGGCAAACACACACTCACAGTATTTGCTGTTGGGTCAAGAGAAACCCTTTTTAACGAATATAGTTGTATATGTGTGTGTGGGTTTGTGCGTGTACGTGTGCATGAAGTACACACTTGTCACTGGACATCTGGTTTGCTGTGCTCTGACGGGTGTTAGTGTAGTTAGTTTAACTGCTTAAATTGGACATAGAACAGTTTTCTTGCACAAAAGGAGACAGAAATAAAAGGGGGAAAATGTGCCTGCAAGATAAAAAGACCCCAGGGGACTTCTATAGCAATATCCCACTTCCAGAATCCTAATAACTATAACTAAGCTCAACAAAATTCTGCTGCTTGACTAAAGGAAGTGCTTAAATTATCAGGACAGTATGAATTAATTTTATTTACCTAGATCTTACATAGTAACTGTTATGTATAGCTAATGTATAGTAATGAATAGCAGACACAGAGTGAAGTGAGAGGTAGGAGGTTGTGGGTTATAGATCCGGTGTGAACTGGTGAATTAAAGTGAAATTGAAATATAAAGAGTAGTGTTTAGGGTAGCCGTGCAGTTTGCCCACATCAATGGCTTTTCCAAATAAATATCTTGACCAAAGTTAACACATTGTTACATAAGAGAGTCTTACATAGCAGTGCTTTAGAAACACCATAGTTTTACCAGGTTTCTATCTTCCAGAAATAAACTGCGCTTAAGTGCTGCTTAAGATCTGCTGTATGTCTACACTTCAGGTGATCGTGTAAGGATGATGTTTCTGTCAGAAAAATGTAAGCAGAGCTGTTTTTTAGGCTTTTTTTTTTTGTCAAACACGCTGATGGATGGAGACAGTTGAGAAATGTAGCATCACTGAAACAGTGAAATTCTTCTGTCACAAACAAACCACTGCTGCTGATCATATCTCTCCACAGTCAGTATATTCTGCTACCACTCCTCGCACTGTATTTCACACTTACACAGTTCATTTAGTTGATGCTATATTTTTGCTGTAAGTAAATTGCAAGCTTTTATACGCAAACAGCTGCTCACCAACTGAATTTAATGTGATTTTTTTTTTTACTGTTCTAAAGATACTGTACATCAGCAGCAAACAAAGAAAATAAGAGATGACTTTAGCTCACTTCTGTTCCACTTTTTCACTGGACTGTATACATCTCTCTTTTGTGTTGCCTCCGTTGTCTTGTTCCTAATGAGACAGCCAGGCAGTACAGCTCGGGCAGCTCTGTTCTTTGTCTTGGATGGAAAAACCCTGCCAGAGACAGAGAGCCCCGCGTCTGGAGGACTGGTGAAATAAGCCGTTCTGTGACAGTGCTTTCAAAGAGAAATGGCACATCACATCCCCCAGATAACAGCAGGGCACTAGCGAATGTGCTGATGGAAGATGTGAAGTGTGTGTGTACGTGTGCGTGCCTGTGTGCATGTGTGTATGGGGATAGACCGAGAGAGAGAGAGAGAGCAAACAAAGTGCTGCTTTTGTTTTTCAGATTAGGCTAATGGACTTGGCACAAATCAAATCCTTAAGAGGGGAAGGTATGCTTAAAGGAGGGGAGAGAGCATGTGCGTTAGGGGGAAATACAGTGAATACAGTATACTGCAACAGTGAATCGCTTAAACAGCAAAAAAATAATCAGCAAATATTTTGATAATTGATTCATCGCCAAAGTCATCTTCAAGCAAAAAGGATTCCCTCATTCCTGGTTCACCAATGTAAGGATTTGCTGTTTCCCCTGTTTTATATTGTTATGAAGTGAATATCTTTAGGTTTTGGAGCATTGGTTGGATAAAACAAGATCTTTTAAGAAACCTTGATGGACATGTTTTAACTCTCTTAAAGATTAATTGATTAATCAGGAAAATATTCTGCAGATTAATCAATAGTGAAGAACTGTTATATTTGTTATTAGTGGCCACTAAAGCGTGATGGTATGTGTACTTTTCAAAAGTCAAACCTGGTGAATATTGAATGTAGAATTATATTTAACTCTACAAAACTTGTTCTGTGTAGATGTCAAGCTTGTTCTGCAAACTTTTGCAGCAGCTCAAACAAAAAAATCAATTGAACCTGAATATTGATATTGGTATCAGGCCAAAAAAACATGTAACCTGTGATTCCCCATCACATGACATTCCTCGTTTATGCAGCGCACAGAAGCACAGAAATGCGATGACTTATATAAAGCCGTACACACACACACACACACACGCACATGAGTCTGGAGGTGTGAGCAAGTGCACATGTGTGCTCCCTCGGTAGCTCTATAAATGTATGCATGCATGCGTGTAGGTGGGTGTATTCCTGCCGTTTCTGTGTGGATGTGTGTTTGGGGAGGTAGGCGTCGCAGAGGCCGGGCACAGCTGCACACCCTGGGGGAGAGGGCAAAGGGATCAGTCTGTCAGAGCTCCATCACTCTCAGATGAACTATCTCTGTTCCTGTCTGTTTCACTGAGGGAGGAAGGGATGAGGTGAAAAAGAAG